GATGGGTCGGGGCCCCTGGCAGCTGCGATGAATCTCGTTGCGGCGGTCAGTGCGAGGAATTGCCTCTTCACCTCGGAATCCTTCACTGAGATCGAATTCAGTTTCTTGGGCCGCCTTTGAGGTATTTTCCGTCTATTGGCTGTGTTGGTTGTCGATTGAGGTTGCTGGGGTTCTTTCTGGTAGGCTTCGGTTTGCCGTCGGTTCGAGCACTGGTCACCGGCGGGTTGTGGTTGTTATGGGCGAGTCGTATTGCTCTGGGCGGAGTGTTGCTCTAGGTGCTGAGGTTCGTCAAGGTCGGGGAGGCCGGTGTTGAGGAGCCGGGCCACCCTCACTCTTCTTCGTTCGGCTAGTGGTGTTAGGCGGCGGGGAAGTGGTTCCTCTCCAACTCGACTAGTGGTGTTAGTCGGGATTGGTTGGGACTGGTGTGAGGGCTGGCTCCGTCTTGTTCCTCCGGTTGGTGTCGGGTCGTTTTCGGATATTAGTTCGTGTTCGGGTTCGACTTTTGTATAGGCCTTATGGCAGCTTCGGAAATGGCTCCTTGGACTTGGCTTCTTCTTCATCAACGATTGTTCTCTGCCGGCTTGGTCTGTTTGATTTGCTGTGGAAGGGCTCATTTTTCTCTTTGTTTTATTTGAATAGTTTGAATCTGTGTTAGGTTGTGTTTTGGGTCTGGGTATTTTACCTGAGTGTTTGTTCTGATTTTTTGATTTGGGCCGTTGGCCTCAGTGTGAGAGGGAGCAACTTTATTCTCCTGTAGGGAGCAGTTCTTGTTTCTATTCTCTTGTGGGGAGCTTTTTAGTTGTAAATTTTCTGTGTGTTTATTGTGTGGTTGTCTCGAGTGTCTTGTTTTGGTTTCTAGCGTTGCTAGTGTCGGGCTTTTAGGCGATCGTCAGACCCGTCTTCCCATTTATTTAGCTTTAACTGCATTTCAAGTTGTATCTTTGCACATTTGTGCGTGTTGTTATATAAATTTTTTATCGTTTCGGAGAAAAAAAATAAATAAATAAAAAATTAAAGACTTGACAAAACAGAAGATCACTTTTTTGGCATTTATTACGAGAAAGTGAAAGTTTCTCCACGAATAAACATTTGTTTTTTCCTCTTTCAGTGATAAAGTAATATACTCTATTTTCGAATGTTTTCTTTTTTACTCAACAGCGAAAATATATAATAGCATTAATATTAAAATTATCAAATAAATATATTACAACCTTTGCTTACTTCAAAATAGCATGGCCATTTTTTTCATGGACTATACCATTCACGTTATAAAAAAAATAATGATGGAATACTATTTTTCTTTAAACATAATTCATTCAGTCTATTTAAAAAGGAAAAACACTAACTCGATCTGAGGTGTAAAACTAAAAAATAAAACGATTGGAATGTAAAGTTTGTCCTTCCACTGAAGAGGCTTTTGTTAATGGCATTTACTTTTTATTTAGGTCATTGAAAATAAAATTAATTAAGTTCATAAAATAAATTAATCCGATTATATTGATTTTGATAATTACCAATCTCACGTGAGAGTCTAAAGTGCACCAATTAATGCCGAATGCTTTTGTGAATGGCAGGCAAATTTATTCATATAATATGGTTGGTTGATTTTGATGTAATATTAGGTTAAGAAAATCTATGAATTGATTAATTCATTAAATCTAATGTAAAAAATTGATGATCAGTTGCATCAGCTTTCATGTATTGGGCACCGACCTGCATGATTAATTGGCTATATTAAAATTTATATTACATGCTTTAGAAAAATTTCGACGTCACAACTGATAATAGTTTTTTAAGCAAAAATAAATTAATAATTATGTGGGTCAGAACTAACAACTAATAAACCAAGAGTTTGTAAATTGCTTGTCTGCTAATTGATTGGTGTATATAATCATAAAATTAACAATTTTTTATATAAATAAATACAGACTATATGTAAGTTACATAATCATCAAAACTTATATTCTATTTTTTTCAAAATATTTATTCTTAACGTAATATTAGTTTTTTAATCATATAATCAAACCATGAAAAAAATTCTTAAACATTTTCTATAATAATAATAATTATTATTATTATTGTTTTAATATTTTTCTAGGTACGTACTTAATTGGTCATGCTCCTTCAAAGTAACAAAAAATATGTTATGTATTACATTTTATGCAATCAATATAAAGATTCATTTATAATTAAATAATTTATATTTATATTGTTCATTTATTAGTATGAAAATTATAAAATGTGATATATACATATCTATTTTATAATTTTAATGTTACATATACACGTAGTTTACAATATTTTGTAATTTGTATTTGTGCATGTGCACAAGATCAACTACAAGTTAAAATGTAATATCAACTTTTCATGAAGTTATACATCATTGCTATTTTTAATAAGTGATTTTGAAAGTCTTCTATGCTAAGTACAAGATGAGTTTCGACATCAATTTGTGTATCTTGAGAATTTGAGAAAGTCTCTTCATAATCGTATTCAAACAATTAATGATCGTGAAACACGGAAAATAAAAGTTCACACTCTAATTGCATGTTTCAATGGAAATAATTAAATTAAGAAAAATAATAAAGTCGAAAAATTGTAGTAAACAAAAATGAAAATAACACCAAAGCATTTTCAATAGTAAAAAATAAAAATATATTAAAAAAAGAGAAAAATAAGGTTTAGAAACACGCAATATAGCAATCAAATGCTAATACTGAAGGAGAGGTGCGATTGAGATCTGCAAGAGGTGCGTGCGATTGAGATATGCAAAATACTGAATCAGTGAGTCTAATTTAATATATAACATTAACAATTTAACATATATTAATAATATATATATATATATATATATTTTTTTTTTTTAAAAAAAATAAGGCGGGCCAAACCGCGAGCTACGCCGCCCTGGCCCGCGGCCCGCGCGGGCTATCCTGCGTAGGCCCATTTTCCAGCGGGCCTAGAAAATCCCGGCCCAACCCACCCCTTTTGCGGTGCGGGGCGAGCCAAATTGAAAGCTCTATTCTTCACCATGAGGGATTTAGTCTACTGTACTTTAAAAAGAAAAATGTTACAATTACATAAGAAATGTACATAAAGGTGTACATAACACTCACATAGAGTGAGGTTCACTTAATTTTTTTTTTTATTTTTTGTCGATCCCACTTAATGTGAGTGTTATGTACATCCCTATTTACANAAAAAGGAAAAGACAAGTAAAAAGTAAAAATTAAGATGGTACACTTTGGGTACATACCATTGGGAATTATAGCGGTCAAAGTATATAATTGTCCAACTAATAAAAAAAACTTTGGGTACATACCATTGGGAATTATAGCGGTCAAAGTATATAATTGTCCAACTAATAAAAAAAATTCCATAAAATTAAGGAGTACATTAAATTTATAAATTAGTGCATATCCCATGTGATGTACGGGGTATACAAATTTGAAGAATGTTATAATTTGACATGCATTAGGATAAATGAGAGTTTAATACATACGAACATATTCAATCATAAAATGTTCGTCACAAAAAATTCTTATATTATTAAACAGTTTTGTGTACACAACATTATGAGTTAGATTATTTGGTAACTCGTTGTGAAGAGCATGGGCCGGAAACCGGCTGCACAAAGGGCTACAGAAACTGAGCCTCACATAACTGGGCTCCCTTGTTGGGCTTCTCTCCTAGGTTGCAGATGCTAATTGCTATGGCCGAAAAAATGGCCCCACATACAGGGACAACTTTTCTTATCTCTAAATATACTATAAATTATATTTTATTCGAAGTTTAAAATTTTTTCATTCCTATTTTATGTATATAGTTATTTTACATTCCCAGCTATACTAATAAAGCATGTTATGAATAGGCTATCTATCTTAATTTTTGTTCAAAGTTGGTTTATTTTTTATTTGTATCATCAGATATATCATGTTAGTCACCATTGGACAAAAGCTCATAGGATGTGATGAAAAATGTGCATTTAGATTTTAACATATACAACATAAATGTAAAAAATACAGAGAAGATACTAACGCTAACAGTTGCACAACAATTAGAAGAATATGATTTTCTTAATTAAATATTTACGATAAATGCATTGCCAAATCGTAAAATTCCTCAAGCAAGGAGTTCGCTCTAATATATCATTCGAGATTTCAGTGTCGATAATTTGCATTGTTCCAACTTCACATTCATCTTATTGGTATAGAAAGAGCCATCTATTACGCTTAAATTAATGGAAAGAGAAGACAATTTCAATGACCTATCCTTATAGGGAGATTGAGATTGATGTATATGTGTAATAAAATATCACCAACATTACAAAATTGATATTTGGAAAACCTGAAGACATGGAAAGCAACAATAGTATCACAACATATGTGCACGCCCGGGTTTCCTTGCGTTGGGCTTCTCTCCTGGGCTGCTTCCACACTGGGCCGCGAGCTGAGGACGGACGCACGTGTGTTGGTTTGAACTCGGTTGGTCATTTTTTACGGCGTGGGAACAGCAACGTGTTGGCCGTTTTTTACGGCGTTCAATTCCTCGGCAACCAGGAATCAAAACTCGACATAATTTACGAAAAATATAATTTTTCAGAGGTTCGGGAATTTACCAAAAAAATGCGATTTTGGCTCGGAAAACAAAACAACTCAAGGCACGACTTACGTTGGATTTCCGAAATAAATTCAGCCCCTAAATTCAAATGACGAACTTGGCATGGTAAAAAAGCTCAAATTTTCAATTCGTTTTGAAACGGAAAATAAAGGCTCGACTAACTAAGAACAACGACCAACATAGCATGAATTATACTCGATCTTTTCTGAACTTAGCTAAGGTATATCATTGTTGGGAAGTAAATTTTCATTTCACGGAAGTTGTACAGAAGTGTAATTCACATATTACATCTTATGGGTTGAACTATGTTAATAAATAGGATTTTGCAGTAAAATGAACGTTGATATGTGTCTTATGTTCTAAAACATATGTAAAAGTACAAAATTTCTGGTTTTGAGAAACTCCCTAATGTACAATGCACATCTCATTAGCAGTGCAAGTTAGACTTTAAGATAAAATTACAACTCAAATGTTACCTGGGTGATGTTATTGGGCGATAGATCTTTAAGAGACGCTCCACGAACATCAAGATACGCAGCAATAGCTACATCGCTATCAAGAAAAAAAAAATAAAAAAAATATAACTGTCAGTTTCCAATTATGAGGAAACTCAATATTTTAGCAACATGTAAACAAAACTAAACCTCCAAGATTATGAAAAAGATGACCTAAAGATTCCGAAAATCTTGTGCCGGTTTCTTAATCATTCTTATTTTTTAATGAATCTCTGTTACCTCCATTTTATCTAGTGAAAACATGAAATTATAATTGAATTTTTTCTTAAAGTTTCGAGGGTTTACCATTCGCCTGTCGAAGGAGAAGAATCGGACAGGAAAACCTTGATTTTGGTCGTTGAAACTTGTCTCGTCTCAGCCGCGGGAGAATCCTCGACTCTACCGTGGAAGAGCGCCGCTCCTGTTGCTGGAAGAAGCCTCGACCATAGCCCGACGTGCTCGAAAACCTGCTCAGCCGCGGCTGCTTGCTCTCGCTGCTCCAGCCGACTATAAATAAACTTGGGAAAGGAAGAGAGAAGGAGAGATGATGAAGGCTTGTAAAAATATTGAGTGAATCTGGACATTGGGTTGTTCCGATTTTTGAAAGTGAAGGAGAAGATTTTTGTAACCCCTTTGCTTTGAAATCGAGAGAAATTAGGGGAGATTAAGGCGTGATTTGTGGGTGGATCTCTTGGTGTTTGGGGGAGATATGGAGGACCAGTTTTGCCAACTTTTCTGTAAAACAAAATAATAATAACAAAATCCCACAATTTAAGGACAACACTTAATGATGTCCAATTTTTTTAAAAAAAATACTATAAATGGCATGTTATTAATGTTGATCAAGTTTTGACCATTGACTTGCCATTTTTAAAAAATGTTAATTCTTATTATATATATGCCAATTTTTATACCAACGGGTGTAAAATCGCCAAATTAAAAAGAACTAATACAAATTTTGAAAATTAAATATATTCTTTTCCGTCTCTCTTTTCTTTTTTTTTTCTATGTTTTTCCTCTCTTCTTCTTATTCTTCATAATTATCATCATCATCATCTTCTTCTTCTTCTTCATTTTTTCAAATATGAATGCATAAGAAAAAAAATTAGAAAAAAATAAAACAGAAAAGATTGATCAACATGTTATTTACATACATAATAATTAAAATATCTAAAAGCAATACAAAAGGTTTGTTATTGCTACAAAAAAAATTAATAATATAATTTAAAAAAAAAAAAAGAAACAAACAAACAAGACACAGGTGTCGTAACAACAAAACAATAATATAACATATATCAAAACAGTATGAAAATAACTTTCAATAGGTCGAGATATTTTAGCCAGTAGATCGTAAGAAATGAACATAATTACAAAACCAATCACAAACATTTAAATGCCTCACTACATGAAATTGCATACAACTTTTGTGAACATAAATCATGACGCCAAACGGGATGAAGACGAACAACATGAGCAAAAAGGCTCGACTATGGATTTTCAGTGAGGGTTGTAAGTCCATAAAATTGGATGCGATGCACTGTGACTGTCGGCGGTTGCGGCTTGATTTCTTCATCTTGTGATCCATATTTGTGGCTTCAGGTACAGTTGCAGTTAAATTTCTACAACCATTAGTTAGATGGGTAGCAAGCTCGGCTTGATATTTGGTTTGGCTCGTCGGTGTCATAGATGAAGCCGAAGAAGAAAAAGGGGAAAAAGATAGTATTATGAATAAGTGTGGATTGCTCCATAAGTTGTGTCAGCCGATGACTCCATAGCAAAACTGAATTATATATTAAATATGACATTTAAAAAGTCAGTTTTGCTATGAAGCAAAATTGAATTATATATTAAATATGACATTTAAAAAGTCAATTTTGCTATGAAGCCAATTGTTGACTTTGTAGCAAAATTGTTGAAGAAATATTAAAATAATAAAAATAGGTAAAAGAGGAATAATGTCATGTTGTGTCAAGAGATTAATAATTTTTTTTAAAAAGGATGGAGAGCATTCTTATTTCGGATTTTAGCTTGTTATTGGATTGGGCCTAATTTCTTTATCTATTAGGTTATTTGTGTCGTGATGGCCATTTTCCAAAGCCCAACAGTGTTGCAAATATTGGAAAGTTACCTTTTACACTTAAAGTAAGTGTGACTTTAGACATTTTTTGGTTTTTATAAAAAACTATATATTATTTGTGCACATGTACAAATACAAACAAATATTTATATATCATATATATGTGGATAATATTAAAATTTTAAATTAAATAATGGGTATATTACATTTTAAAATTACTTATTACATACATATAAATCGTTATATTGATGATATAAAGTGAAATAAATAATATTGTTATTTTGTAATTTAGACCATCCAATTAATTAGTTAAAAAAGTATTACAATTATTTTTGTTGTTGTTATGCCAAATGTTAATGTGATTTTAAGGGGTTTGATTATGCCACTCAAACCAATTAACTAATATGACGACAAAACAAAAATAATTCAATAACATGAAAAAGGAATATTTAGTGTAGAATAAGTATTTTAAAAGAGAAAGGGTTGAAAAAGAACTTCCTATAAGTAGGTAACTTCCAAGATTTAATATAAATTTATAATTAGTTAACATTAATAGTAACTATTATATAATAAACTAGTTTAAGATTATTATTCTACTTGATTAATGTACATTATAACTAAAATTTTTATACATTTACTAAAAAAATGAGCGGAAATAATTTATGATTTGAATTAATTATATAGCCTAAAATTATTTATATATAGATTATCTTCTAAGAGTCTAAAATCAAAAGTAAATGCTACAAACTAGTAATCAAATTAATTATAAATTTATAATCAAAAGTCTATCCTCCTAGTAAATATTGTCTAAAACTTGAATGTAAGTTTGCCTTTTAAGTTCTTCTGGCCAAAAGCGCGCGTACTGATAGGTTAGAGATAAGCATAATTTATTAGGATTTTATGTATAAGAACTTCCGATTCACAACACGCTCTTTACGTTTTTCGTCACGAACTGCGTGTTGATAACGTGTTATAAATGAGTTCACGAGTCGCGACTCTTAGTAGGTATAGGTATTGTCTACCCTTCAAGCCCGGTTTTGTCTTTTAGAACCATTTCCCCAAAAATCATGCATACTAAGTTAGTGGTAATTATTGTTTATTAACCGCTCAACAACTTGAATGTTGTGAGAACTTATAGTTCACAACACATTTCAAATTTTAGCATGTCTAATGTTATGTCAACTAGCCAATTTTACTTCCAAATGGTAATACATAATTACTCTCAAAGTTGATTTGATTGGTTAAAATTGGATTACATTTATATCTAATCTCAGCCTAATTTAATTAATAATGGACTATAGTTGTTGGGAGCACTTAGGGAATGACTGACTACTGATTAAAATTGATTTCAACTAATTAGATAATTTTTCACATTTTTTAACTCAAAAATGAACTCAATTTTAATCAAATTCTACTATCCTTAATATTATCAATATAGTTAAAAATACAAATAAATCATGCTTATACATGACATTACTTTTAATTCAATATTCATCAAATCACATATTTTTAACTGTCTATCATTTTCAATAATCACTCTCATACTTTTACATCACACTAATTTTAATTATTACATTTTAAATATCATTTAACTACTAACTCAAATATAATTCAATACTTCACTTAATCAACTTAAATTAACCAACTTTAACCAAATAATCCAATTAAAACCGGATTTATTTATGTTCAATCTACATCTACTACTTTTGAAATTTGACAATCAAAATCTACTCATTTTGTGGTAATTTATTCTTCTGCTCTTTCTAGCATGATATGTTATGTTTTATTCTCATGTTGTATTTCATTTTATTAAAGAATGACAGAGACATAATAACGTTATATTTTGTTACAAATGGGTCATCAAATTGAATGAACTATCAAATATAACTCTTTTATTGCATGTCCATTAAATTAGGCTTCTTATTACAAATTAATTTAGATATATATAAACTTAGAAGTAATTTAGAGCCAAGTATATTTTGTTATGGAGCTCTATCGTCTATTTACAATTGTCACGTTATATTAATCTTCTATTTTTGTAATGGTATTTTTTTTCTTCAAATTATTCATCCAGACCAAAGTTTTATATTTCCACAGAGCATACGACATCACATTCACGTGGTTACATAAAATAGGTTTATCTTTCTTTTTATTTTCATTTATTTAATAGACTAAATATGTCGAGGATTTACCAATCGTAAATATTTAAAAAAATAATAATGATTTTTTCCAAAAGTGCTCCAAAAAAAACACAATTTTTTTAAAAAACTTCGGTTGAGCTGAGCAAATCTTAAATAATCTTAAATTTTAAACATTTTGAAACATTACTCAAAATCTAAAACCAACTATTCACATATCATCGCACTCTATNTTCATCACATGTTCAATATCAATATATCATCCACCACGAGGAGCCAAAAATCCTTGACTTTTATTTATTTATTCATTTATTTTTATTTTTTTTTTGTCTTTTTTCCATTTGTGCAATGTAAGTTATGTAACATTTGTCAATTGGTCATACAACTACATTGACGGCTAAAGCAACGGCTGAAGGATAGTGAAAACGGAAAGGCTAACACGCCGTTACATTAACGTAGTTTTAGCATTTGCAAGACAAATGCATTACCGTTGTCTCCAAAAATGAAGGTATTAATTTTATTTTAGATTTATTATGACATGATCCAAATAATAATAATTGCAAAATGAGTATATAAACAAAATAATCACTAGAGGTTGGAACTGTTTATACCTAATTTTCTTTCATTCATCGGTATTGAGCAATTTGATGCTTATAATTAGCATCTCTAACTAATCCTTTGATTGTTTGTTATTTTGAGAATGGCATTTCGTCATCAAATTTATAGAATTATTTGGTTAGTCGTAATTGTAATTTAGAGTGTAACATCGTATAGCATGCTAAAATACTTGTAAGCCAACAAAACTTATTTAATATATTTTTTTCATGATTATATACTGTTGAAAAAATGACTCTCGAGCTTATAACTCAACATATGGTTGTATTATACATGTATAATGTAAAGTAACGGTTTTACATAATTTTCAGACATAATATAGACATGGCAAGACCGATGTGATTATATAAATCACATCAAAATTAAAATCAACAATTATTATATGTACACGTCAATTATGTCATTTATTATGTGAAAAAAAATATGTAAAAGTAGCAATATTCTACATAAAAAGACTATATTTTTAGAAAAATGTTATACGTACATAATATTGTACATAGGGATGTACATAAGACTCATATTGAGTGAGACTTACCAAAAATAAAAAATTAAGTGGACCCCACTCCATGTGAGTGTTATGTACACCTCCATGTATATTTATTATGTACTTGTAGCATTTTCCATATTTTTATTCGTGTCTCACCATTAATTAGTTCTATGTTTCAATAAAATGTAAGATTTTATCAACAATTAACATAATTTTAAAATAATATAAAAAAATTATGATCATTTTGTGTTATAAGTACATATTTTTATTTAAAAATACAAATCCAATAATTTGTGAAATCAAATCAACTTTCCCCCTCTAATCCCTATTCCCTTCCAAGTTCCACCAATTTTTATTAAAAAATACAAATCCAATAATTTGTGAAATAAAATCAACTTTCCCCCTCTAATCCCTTCCAAGTTCCACCAATCACCTCGCAAACGCTCTTTCAGTCAATACTAACAAATCTAGATTAGGAAAAATTACTGATTCTTGAGGTCCCCCCTTTATTCAACAGAATCAGCAGCAGATATTTTTAATTTTCTTGATGTGGGATCTCTCCAAAGGCCCCCAATCATGGCGGGGCCGTTTCAATACGTTACCCTCTGTTTGCCGACATCCAAAGCGTCCCCTTCGCTTTCACGCGCTTGGGGAAAAAACTGACGTTATGTGTGAGATCCAAAATGGGTGACTATTAACTGCAGAGATTGGTCAAGCATTTATTTCCCCTTTTAATGCTCGCCTCAGAGTGTGTGCATAATATTATTATTATGATCTCGTGAACTTGTTAAAATGCTGCTTTGATTTTTGGGTTTGCTAATTTGTTGGGTCTTTGTTAAATTTTTGCCCCTTTTTTTGGTGATTGGTGTTTTTCAGATCTTCATATGGGTGGTTCTTGATTTGGAAACTTGGGTACAGTTATCTTTTTTTCATTCTGTGGGAGGAAAAGGGAAAAAGGTGAGATTTTTAGATCATTTGGGGGAAGATTAGATATGGGTTTTATAAGCACAGTGTTAGGGATTTTTGGGTTTGGGACAGGGATCGCCATTGGGCTTGTGATTGGGTACTTTTTGTTTATCTATTACCAGCCAACTGATGTGAAGGTCTGTGTTTTTTCTCTTTACATGGTGTTCTTTAATGTGTTCATCTACTATTAGTGCCATATTTAATTTTCTTTTGTTTAATGTGAATCTTATACATTATTGATATGGCAATTGAATTTTATGATGTTTGAGGTTGCTGTTATTCCATGTGCATTCTTGCAAGGGTGTTATTTGTTATTGAATTAGGCTTTGTTGACACTTATATTTAGTCATCTGGACAAGATTGCGAGACATTATTGTTTGAAATGTTTGATGTTTTTTTTAATTTCCAGTGATTCCTATGACCATAAAGGGCTGATATTATCTGCAATCTTTTGTTTGAGTTTTAAACTAACCAAATAATTAAATCATTTGCACAAAATAAAAGAAAAAATGGTGTTAGCAGTCAAAATTTGGCAGCTTTTATGTACAATAAAAGATTATTTCTGTTTCCCTTGTTATATGATGTATTGATTCCATTTTTTTTATTTTATTTATGTTTTTGTTTTTATTATGTTGTACAGGATCCTGAAATTCGTCCGTTAGCTGAGAAAGATTCTAAAAGTTTGCAGCAACTGCTCCCAGAAATACCTGTTTGGGTCAAAAACCCAGATTATGATCGGGTCAGTTTGTTTGAATTGTGATATGCTTGATTATAAAAAACGAAAAAATGATTTTTTTTTTTTTTTTTGTCTACCTTCTTTTAGTTCTTAGTTTCCAATTCTGTTTTTCGGTCTGCAGATTGATTGGCTGAACAAATTCATTGAGTATATGTGGCCTTATTTAGATAAGGTATGGTTTGTGAACTCCCTTGCCTTTAAGTTTGTGTATTTGATGGAATATTGACATTTTTCGAGATACTCAGGCAATTTGTAAGATGGCAAAGAAAATAGCAGAACCCATCATAGCCGAGCAAATTCCAAAATATAAAATTGAGGCGGTTGACTTTGAGAAACTGACTCTGGGCAGCCTACCACCTACATTTGAAGGTTTCTTTCTTTTCTTTTTTTCCTAAATGCTTCAACGGTAAACAATTTTGATTATACATTGTGAGCCGCACATTACCTTTACATTCAATATCTAGTTGAGTCCATAGTGACATAATACATTCTTCCTCATATCAATGGTTGAACAAACATGTTATGGTAATTATTTTTTTCATATCAATGGTTGAACAATACATTCAAGGTCAATGTTAGTNATTTACTCCCACAGGAATTCAGCGAATGTCATTTATTATCTATTTTTGTAATTTTTTTGTCCTTACGATCTGTTCCCGAATAAATTATGGATTCTCTTTCATCTCTAAATTCAGTATTTTTTTCTGTCTGTGACAATAATTGGTGCACAAAGAAAGGAAAAAGAATAGCATATTTCAATTTCTATTTATTTTAAGATAACATATCTGCATTTAACATTATAGGAATGAAAGTATACAACACGGAGGAGAAGGAGTTGATAATGGAACTTGGCTTAAAATGGGCCGCGAATCCAAACATCCTTGTTGCTGCCAAGGCATTTGGACTGAAAGTTACTGTCCAGGTATTTTTGGGCAAATTGTGAACTCTTGATGAATAAATAAATAAATATATAAATGAAATGATTCTTACATATGCATTATTAGTTATTAGTATAAACTCTGAGCAGTCCTTTCGTGTGTATTTTAGGTTATTGACCTTCAAGTATTTGCCAATCCACGTATCACATTGAAGCCACTCGTTCCAAGCTTCCCCTGTTTTGCTAATATTCATGTTTCCCTAATGGAGAAGGTGAGTGTTGATGTGTTTTTTTTACCATTTTTTTCTTAGAGTATAAATGAATATATTTTTCAGAACAAGTTGAATGAATTTTGAATGAATATATTTTTCAGAACAAGGTGAATGAAGTTTTTACTACACAATCTATATCTATATATATATAAAAAGGTTTGATTATTTTTAAAATAGTAATTATTTCCCGCTAAAAAATATTTTATTACTAAATTTGGAAATTTCATACACGTAATTGTTAACTTTAAGATATAAGTTCCAAAATAAAGGTCCTTAATTTTCATGCGAAAATAATCATATGATTCATTGAATAGAAATCTATTTATTTTGATCCACACTCACCATATTTTATCCTTCTAAAAATGCAAGATAATTACTGAATGTTACATTGATTCCAAAAATTCATTGAATCTTCTTAAAGATGTTGTACAGATTGATAAAAAATTGATAGCCAAAATGAAATTCATTTATTATGGTCACAAATTCATTTATAGAAAAAGCTCTGGTAATTTTTTTTATATAATTAGTGGGTCTCGGTTTAATTCATTTTTTGTTACGACATTTCAAATCATTTTTGTGTGAAATGTGTTGTTCATTTTTTTAGCATGAAAAAGAGTGTCAATTTTTTGGCATAAAAATTTTTATGACTGATTGCTTTTACTTGACTACTTAAATTTTTTGATATGGATATTTTATATAAAAATAAATTTATTTTAATTAATTAAACAATATAAGTTTTATAGTTATACTTATTATTCACATAGGTTTTTAAATACATGATAAAAATTTACCAAAATAATTATTTTATGGAATCACGTTATAGTCAAATCGAATTTTTAAATAAAATTTATGAAATGACATATATTTTAAAATCATATAATGTAATTTATTATCAATTATGTGCAACCGCACATGATGTGTACTAATTTTAAATAGACATTTTTATGTAAATTTGCACAAATTAAATTTTATATAACATTTTCAATAAATTATATAGGTACATTGTATTACATATTGATTCCATGTTTCTAATTTATAAATATTATTTAATAAGAAATTTTAATTTATAAATATTAATTAATATCTCTTACCCGTGCATCGCACGGAATTCGTACTAGTTTATAAAGATAAATAGAATTATTTATTTATTTTGTATGTATAATAAAGATGAAAAATCGAAACTCATCAAGACATGATTAATGTGATATATTATATATAAAAAAATTGTTAATAAATATTTATTTATTTATATTTTTTTTTTTGGAAGATCAAAATCAATGAGAAAGTAATTAAAAATATATACTTTTTGTTTATACTAGTTTTACCCCGTGCATTTGCACGAAAAGCGATATAATAGAAGAGAAAGTAATTAATAATACAAAATAAAATAAAAATCATACAGTAAAAAAATAATTTAAAAAAATAAATCTAAATATTACTAAACACTTCTTCATATGCAACCGTCGTGGTTTTTCTATCATCAGATTCCTTGTCACAACAAATCATTATCGTTAAACTTCTTCGACTCGTGACTCTGGAATTTGATTTTTCAAAATATTTGATGTATCTTTGTAATATCCGAAAAAATATTTTTTTATTATTGTATGACCGCAATAGAAAATGGAGATATTTGTAGTCATTCTTAATTAATTGTGAAATATATATTTATATAATACCAAAAATATATAATTTCAATACAAAAACAAAAATATTTTGTATTTTAGGACATAAAAAGGGGTTACAGAAACGGGCATCATCCAAAATGGGACCTATCAAAATAAATTGTGTAACGGAAAGTTACATATTGTTATTAATTGGTGAACATATTTTTATTAAATGAACATCTATTTTTATTAAATGACTCGTATTTATTATGAATTGCTGGCTGAATAAAATATATTGAAGCTTGTTAACAATTATAGATATATAGATTGTTATGATTTAGGTAGGTCAGTTGAACATGTACAAAATCCAGCGGGCAGGTTTCTATAATGTTTTTCTGAATTTAATTCTGTTTTGTAGCCTCATGTTGATTTTGGAGTAAAGCTGCTTGGTGTTGATGCCATGTCTATTCCGGGGTTATATAGAATTGTGCAGGTATTGCTTGATATTTACTATTTAATTATAATTTATTTGAATTCCATTGATATGTTTAGTTTGAGGTGTGTGTGATTATAATTTATATCTAAAAGTTCATAACTTTGAGAAACATTTGTGCTTATATTCAGGAAATAATCAAAGATCAGGTTGCAAACATGTACTTATGGCCGAAAAGACTTGAAGTTCAGATAATGGATCCAGCAAAGTATAATAATAACTCTCTACTTTAAGCTCTTATGCCAGAATCATCATCTACAAATAAAAGCAAGATCATAAATTTGTACTTCTTTTTTTTAATTTTTATTTTTCGAAATTCACAGAGCAATGAAGAAACCAGTTGGGATTCTTAACGTTAACGTTATCCGAGCTATAAAACTCAAGAAGAAGGATCTTTTAGGGGCATCAGACCCTTATGTGAAGCTCAAACTCTCTGATGACAAGCTCCCGTCCAAAAAAACCACAGTAAAGCACAAAAACTTGAATCCCGAATGGAATGAGGAATTTACTTTTGTTGTGAAGGACCCTGAAGCTCAAGTTTTGGATCTCACCGTGTATGACTGGGAACAGGTAACCAAACTTTNTTTTTAAAAAAAAATCAAGTTAGACTGAATTTTTTTTACCCTTAGCAGCCACTTATGATACCTCTTTTTCACCTTTCAAGGTTGGTTCGCATGACAAGATGGGGCTGAATGTAGTCCCATTAAAAGATTTAACACCCGACGAACCAAAAATCGTGACTCTTGATCTCCTAAAAAATCTAAACCCAGATGACGTTCAGAATGAAAAGTCGAGAGGCCAACTTGTGGTTGAGGTCAACTACAAACCATTCAAAGATAATGAGGTCCCGACTAACGTTGATGACTCGAACGAGGTACAGAAGGCTCCGGAAGGTACACCTGAAGGCGGTGGTTTGCTCGTCATTATAATCCACGAAGCTCAAGACTTGGAAGGAAAAAACCACACAAATCCATCCGTACGCGTTTTGTTCCGTGGGGAAGAAAAGAAAACCAAGGTACTTCTTTTTTTCTCTTCTAAATAAACCACAAGTAAAATGTAAACTTTTGTTTTGCAAAAGTCGAAATTGCCCTTAATATCACCGACTTTTTTTCCAAATTGCAATTTAATCACGACCATTTCAATTTTTGCAAATTATATCACAATCTTCAGCTCATCGCAAATCCCATGCAAACTATATCACAATCTTCAATTTGTTCTTCGGCTAATCAGCTTTTCTAGAGTTGGTTTTCAGAACTCGTGCACCGATTTGTAACAAACTGAAGTTTGTAATATAATTTGCAGAAGTGAAAAGGTCGTGATTAAATTACAATTTCGAAAGAAAAAGTAGTGATATTAGGAGCAATTTTTACCTGTTGTAGAATGGTTAAATTTTACGGGAAACACCAACCCTCGAGTTCTTGTTTAACTACGGATAGATAACCTTAATATGTCTTGTAATATAAGATATCTATCTTGCAAAGTAGTTTGTCATGACTATCCTAAACATAGTTGAAATAATGCGTCTTGAGGTTTTTTGGTGCTCACTAATCACTACAAAGATTATTATGTTTGAATTTCATTTTGTTTTTCGTGCAATTTTTTCAGGTTGTGAAGAAAAACAGGGATCCAAGATGGGAAGAAGAGTTTCAATTCATGCTTGATGAGCCGCCAACGAATGAGAGGGTTCATATTGAAGTAGTTAGTACTTCAAAGAGAATGGGCCTAATACACCCCAAGGTAAAAAAAAATAAAAAAATAGAATAGTTTAAAGTCAAAATATCTGCATTATAGTAGAGAGTAAAAGTTGATGGTGTTTAGTGAACAAAAAGAATAAGGTAAAAAAAATTGATTGGTTTTTTAGAGACTGACTGATAGAAAAGTTCGTTTAAGATGCTATCGTTTGATTTTAAATTCAATTGAATGAAGCAAAATCAAAGGTAAGCATTGTTTACAGATGGTGTGTTATTTATTGGTTGTAGGAAATTTTGGGTTATGTGGATATATACCTATCGGACGTTGTGAACAACAAGAGGATCAACGAGAGGTATCATCTTATCGACTCTAAAAACGGGCGAATTCAGATTGAGATGCAATGGAGAGCTGCATCTTGAGCTTTCAACTTTGAAGGCTTTGTGAAATTCTTGTGAATAATCAATCTCTCATATGTTTTGCAGCCATGAATGCTTAGGATATTATTTGTTTATGTTCACAGTTGGTGGCTTTGCACTCTGTTGATTAGTGATAATTAATAATTAATCCCTCCTAAATTTCGTTCTTTCCCGATAATTTCGATAATTCATGAAGATTAATTTCCTATGTTATTACTTTGACTCATTTAACAAAAAATGAGTGAAATTAGATTTCTTTCTTTTTTTTTTATATATTACTCAGGTTTTACATTTCTATAAATTAGATTTCTTTCTTTTTTTTTTATATATTACTCAGGTTTTACATTTCTATATTTGGAAATAAAAAAAATCAAATATTTTTATTTCTTTTGTGTGAGAGATGTTGATTTCTTGAATTTTATCTTCCCGCTAGGCATGAGAATGAATGCAAAAAAAATGATTATCTAGTCCAATAATTATACTAAGAAACAGAGTAGCACTTAACAAATAAGTACAAAATATAATCGATGATATATATTACATATGTTAGGTAACAAACACTATTAATAACACAAAATTCATATGAATAATCTCACACCGTTAATACTCATGAGTATCGTGTACATATGCATCACGTGAAAAATCAATATTTAAACACATTATGTATTAATTTAAATCTAAGAGATAATGCAATGTGACCCTACCCTAGTCCATGTTACAATACTAGAATTTCCATCACATTCATCATTGCAAAAATCTGTCAGGATTGTGCAGCTAAACTGTGACTGGACTGACTGGTGACCCATTGGGCTTCGAGTCTTATTTCTTTTGGGCCCCATTCAATAAAAAGTTGCTCAGCCTATCTAGTTATCTATTTTTCGTAGCTTCATTTCATAATAATCATAATGTTAAATAAATAATATTAAATTCACTGCTTAAAACTTGAACAATATAAGAGCATCTCTAATGCATTCTTTTGAAAGAGTAAAAAGTTATCCACCTCATCTAGATAGAAAGTGTGTGAATAATTTATCCTCCAATGCATTAGATTATGGGTCTTTTCATGCTTATGTGTAAAAAATTAATGTTAACATTGTCAAGCTCACTTTCTAATTTCTCACATTCTTTCTAACATGATGACTCAACATTTGGATAATTATTTGACACAAATTTTGAGCTTTTCATAAACTTGGAAAAATATCACCCTTACATTTATCCAAGGAAATATTGAGAATTTATTTGAATACAGTATAATTATTAAAATTTAAAAAAGTTATCAATAATAATGTCCTGAAAAGTAAAATATTATGTTCATGATATTTGTTTGTTGAGTTATTGCAGTTTTAATATTTTGTTGTTTTATTTTGAACCGATTAAAAAAATATTTATTGTGTGGTTATACATATTGTAACTGAGAAATTATTGAATAAATAATAATTTTATAAATTTGATGATATAAATAAAAATTAACTGAATCAACAAAAAATAACATCATGAATATAATTATTGGAATTTGTGGTTTTTTCTAATATACTCTTTGATTTTATTAATAATTGAATACATCCACATATACAAATTGTATGGGTGTTGAATGGATGCATTGGAGGCAACAATTCAAATGAAAGTCCTATTCTTTTAACATTCAGTTCATGTAGATTAAACATTAATCCATTGATTGACATGTGTTCAAATTTAATTAATGTTGAAAGTTGAGCATTGGAGATGATGGCTACAGGTACTGTATAAGACCAAATCTTCGTTTTCACTTGTTTGATAAAAACGTAACTTTATTGGTCAAAAATTATGTTCTTCACTTTCACAAACATATTATTTTCCAACACAAATTGGAAGCCGCACAAAGTTCTGCAAAAATTAATATAATAGAACAGCATTTATTCCCCAAGCTCAAAATCTATCCACTGTGAGAAAAAAATCACAAGCATTTGACATTCCTATTTGAATTTTTTGGTGGACTGAATATTTTCGCAATTGTGAAATCTAAAATCTAAATAAACTTTAGGATTAGTTTTCTTATAGATTTGCCAATTATCAATATTTTAATTCAATATATATATCTCAAGAAAGAAAATTGTGATAATCTAAGGGGATGTTGTGTGTAAGTATATCCCTAAAAACGTTTNTTATGAAAAAGTTGATATAATTAATTAGTTGTTTGTGAGATTTTAAGTATATAATAAACTATTATTTAAAATAAAATATTTAACGTTACTTTAATGTAAAAGTATAAGAGATATGATGTGGAGTGGTAAGTAGTTAATATTATATGAGCGGATGAATAGTGAATTAAAATTTATTTGATATGTAAGAATAATTAATTGTAATTATTTAATTATATTAATAATATATAGTTGAGTTGTGTTAACATTGAGTAATTTTGAGTATGAATTAATTATGAGTTGTATAAACAAACACACCGTCAATTAAAATAGATGTGATGTATAAAAATAATTGATTGATATTATTCAATTATATTGATAATACTGAAGGTAGTGAGATAAATTTACAAATTTAAATATAAATTTAATATAAATTGAGTTTATTTATATCATTTCCGCAAGATTTGAAATCCGAAATTCACGAAATATAACCAGAAGTTTCGTAAGATAACACTATATTGGTCTTATAAATAATGTCATGATTGAGACAAAAACTTTAATATAAATTTTTACACTTTTGAACTATATCTAGATCCTTGGTCTANTCCTTGGTCTAAATTGAATGTCGTAAAACTATATTATTACCTACCTCGTCTATCATATTTATCTAGAAAATAAAAAGGAGTATAAATGAAATTAAATAAATATCTGGCTGGTGCTATTTCGTATCTATCTTTTACTGTGAAAATTGCATAAAATCCGAAAGGTAATTCTAATTTCATCCCACTAACATCCAAAAAGAGGAGTAGACTTTCTGTTTGGCGCTTGCCAACAAAAAATTCAGAGAGTACATTGTCTTTTTTTATAAAGACAATTCAGCCATTGGGCCCAACTGCATTAGCCCAAACCATATATCTCATAGACTTGGAAAAGAGGTCAGAGTCCGATGGCCCACAACCCGGAAACCACAGTTTTGTTATTGTCAATTATAGACGGTTCGGATCGGAATCCAAGTATGGCAAATAAAATTTTATACTTGTGTTTATGTTATATTAAAAATTATAAATAATTAAGTAATAAGTAAATTATATTTTTATAATTTTATTATTAGTAAAAATAAATAATATAAAAATAAACTATTTAACTTACATATTAATCTTTATATTGATACAATCTTATCTGATTATGACCAATTAATTGAATAAAACAATATTAAAATTATTATTTATAGCAATTGTATAATAAATTTCAAAGTGCTTTATTCTATCATAAAAAATATTTAACTAATTTTAATAAAAAAATATTTGATGAGTTAAAAAAAAGAAATAATAATTTTAAAAAAATAGTTTGAAAAAAGACTAGAATAGAATAACATTTAATGTAATTTTATTATTAGTCAATAGTAGCAATCACATAATAAGTTAAAATTAAAATATAATTGTTTGTTCAATGCAAAATTAACAGAAAAAAGCAAAAAAATAAATAGAGTTTTATTAAATTTTTCGCTAGTGATTATATGTTGACGAAGGGAATCGGTCAACAATTAAATTGATATTAAAGATGAGTTAATATGAAAAATAAAGAAGATTTACGGGGAGATAAGCTTTATTATTACTCTTGAATCTTGATGAGGTCGGCCTCTGAGTTTCAGGCCGACTTCTCACTTACACTTGGTTTAGTACAATATTCTCGTTACAGAGTTAATGCAGAGAGAGAGAGAGAGAGTTGACAGAATATTCAACAATGCTTGATAAATGAGGGTGATTGCCTATTTATACTAATAGAGGCCAGGTACTGTTCACGTACTGTTCAATAAGATGACAGATGTCAAACGTCGCTCTGTCAAGCATTAAATGAGATTGAGGTTTTAGCTAATGATTACTTGTCAGACATTAAATGCACACATGAAGAACATTTAATGCTGACAAGCCGTCCTACATGTCTACGTGTGCTAGGGTGGCAAATAGGGTGGCGCATCCCCTCATCAATTACGACTTGACAAGTGACAATATTTTATCGTATCCAAGCTCTGTGTGTGCATCAGGGGTCGACCCTGTCGAATCTTCAGGTCGGACTTCCACCGTAACTTGAGTTGTCTTCGCCTTCTAACCTACAAGGTCTTCCTAGATCATTTGTTTAAGGAGGTCGACCTCGTCCTACCGATGCTGAGGAGTCAAATTGAAAACATGTTCTACTAATAGCCAAAAGAAATTAGGTCAACTTTATACTTTTAAATACATAGATAAAATGGGTGTCTGCGCTTTTGTAATAGTTTCAAATCAAATAAGTATTTTACCCTTTTTTAATTTACAAACTTATTACAAAAATAATCTAAGGTACTCAACGAAATTACCTATGATATGATACAATTTGTATTTTATTTTACGAACTATGATTTGATACAACTTTTTATCTTAGTATTCAATTTAAATTTAATTCAACTCAATTATTTTTTATATTAACATATAATTAAATAATATTAATCAGTTATTATCAATATTTTTAAATATAATTCACTATTTATCAGCTATTATAATTTTAACTATCAATCGTCATTTTTATATATCTCTCGCTTGGTCTCACATGACTAATGTTAATCTATCATGTTAACTTTATAGCCCAACTCAAACTTCAAATTTAACCAAAAACTCAACTCAATTACATTTTTTTAAAAATTAAATCATTTTATTCGATAAATCAAATGTAATCCACCAACTTTTGTATTGAGTTTTGATTTTATATTTAGATATGAATTAAAATGCAATGATAAAATATAAAAGTAAAATAGATTTTTGACAAAAAAGAGCGGGGCGATATAACGTAGGGACGTCGTTTTTCTAGGGACGTCTGTATGTAATTAAATGTGGGCTGACATATTAGGATTAGGGTGAAAAAAAGGTCGGATATGTTATGATGGGCTGTCATTTCAAACTGTCTCCAATCGGCCTTATAATTAACAGACTACCGCTCTAGCTTGGGAGATAATTTTGATGATTTTCATGTACAAATTAAATAAAATTAAAGTATATTGTTTTAAGTTATAACCATTTAACCAGTGAAATAATTAAAATTTGTAGCAATTTAAAATAATTTATGGTTTGGNTAAAAAAATAAACATTTTTAATTGAATCATTTTTTTAACTCAGTTTTAGCTCAATCTTATTATCATATTTTTAATATAATTAAATAATATCAATCAATCATTATTACAAATCATATCAATTTTAATTCACTATTCATCCACTCATATAATTTTAATTAACTATCTATCAGTCTCTTATACTTTTACACCAATCAACTTTAATTATTATATTTTAAATATTATTCTAATATAAACTCAAAATACCAATAATAATTAGCCACGACACATTTCTTAAAATTAATTATAATTAACAAAAAAATCAATAGAAACAAAGTCAAACACATATTCAATCACAAGTTTAATTTGTGAGTCATTCAACGCTAGTCATATTTTTTAGTATGATTAGTAAAGTTGATATGTGGTTAGAGGAGCTAGAGAGCTATTTGTAAATTTTCAAGTGTAACGTTTTACTTCACGGTGTTAGAAAGTTAACGTCCCCACTCCAGCAGCCATAGACCAACAGTCGAAAAGTGAAAAACAGAAAGACTTTCTGACAAATAAAATAAAAAGAAAGAAAAACAGAAGAAGAAAAAACAAACAGTTTTAAAAATCCCAACAGAGGAAGACCCTACATATATTTTTGCTCTCAAATCCCCCACAAAAATATACTTGGTTCAAAATCACTACTTCAACCACGCGTAAATGGCGTCTCTCCTTCTCATCATTTTTATCCTCCGCCCCTCTCTCCTCCTCCACGCACACTCCGACCTCGAAGCCCTCTTGACTCTGAAGTCATCCCTCGTCGGGCCCTCGGGCTGGGGCCTCGACGACTGGTCCGATTCGACGCCTCATTACCCGACCCATTGCTCCTTCTCCGGCGTCGATTGCGACGCCGACGGCCGCGTGACGTCGCTCAACATCGTCAACGTCCCGCTCTCCGGCGCCCTCCCGCCGGAAATCGGCTTGCTGGGCAAGCTCGTCAACCTCACCCTCTCGGGGACCAACCTGACCGGCCCCCTGCCGGCCGAAATCCGCGGCCTAACCTCGCTGAAGCTCGTAAACATAAGCCAGAACGCGTTCTCCGGCGCCATTCTCGGCGAGGTTGTTGCGGACCTCGCCGACCTCGAGGTGTTCGACGCGCTCAACAACAATTTCTCCGGCAGCCTGCCGGCGGAGTTCGCGCTGCTGAAAAATCTAAATTTCCTCAGCCTCGCCGGAAACTACTTCTCCGGCGATATCCCGGAGATTTACTCCGAGTTTCAGAGCTTAACTCATCTGGGTCTGCACGGAAACAGCCTGACCGGAAAAATCCCCGCCGGCCTGTCCAAGATACCCAACCTCCAAGAACTCTATCTCGGGTATTACAATACATACTCTGGCGGCATACCGCCGGAGTTCGGCTCCATGACTCGTCTTCAGTTGCTTGATCTTGGCATGTGCAATCTGAGCGGTGAAATTCCGGCGAGCCTTGGGAATCTCAAGCATTTGCACTCTCTGTTTCTTCAGGTAACAGCCATTGATGATAATTTCATTGGTTTCACCCTTATTATCCTGAAATTTTTGGTTTTCTACAATTTTATGCAGATAAATAACTTAACAGGCCAGCTCCCGGCCGAGCTGTCCGGCATGACTAACCTAATGTCATTAGATATCTCCGTCAACAGCCTCACCGGAAAAATCCCCGAACCTTTTTCAAAACTGAAAAACCTCACACTTCTCAATTTGTTCCACAACAAATTCCAAGGCCCTGTCCCGAGCTTCTTCGGCGATCTCCCGAACCTCGAAGTTCTCCACATATGGAGCAATAACTTCACCCTCAGCCTTCCCGAAAATCTCGGCACTAACAAAAGGCTCACAATGCTCGACGTCACCGGAAATCGTCTGACCGGCCCTTTACCAAAAAACCTCTGTTTAGGTGGGAAACTGAAAACTCTAATCCTCATGGATAACTTCTTCTACGGCCCAATTCCATCGCAAATCGGGTCGTGTAACTCCCTTACACGGATCCGGGTCAAGAACAATTTCCTCAACGGTACTATCCCAGAGGGAATCTTTCAGATGCCGTTTTTGGATATTCTCGAGCTCGACGGAAACTACTTCTCCGGCCTGCTGCCGGAGGTGAACATTGTTGCCGGAAGCTTGTCCCGACTCACGCTCTCCGGCAACTCGATTTCCGGCGGCATACCTCGTGCATTCGGTAATTTAACGAATCTGGAGATACTATCGCTCGACAACAATGAATTCTCCGGCGAGATTCCGGCCGAGATTTTCGGGATTAAAAAGCTCACGAAGCTAAACTTAAGCGGTAACCGTCTTACCGGCCGCATACCACCGGCGGATTTAAACGATTCTCTTCTGTCGTATGTTGACCTCAGCCGAAATAACTTGATTGGTGGAATCTCGGGGAATATTATTCCTCAGCTACAGAATCTCAACGTTCTCAACTTGTCGAGAAACAATCTCCAAGGCGAAATTCCTGACGAAATTGGGCTCATGAAGAGCCTAACTGTATTAGATTTGTCTTACAACGATTTTTCGGGCCGGGTCCCGTTAACCGGGCTTTTAGGTGCTTTGGACGATCGTTTTTTCGCTGGAAACTCGAATCTCTGCTTGCGAAACGTCTCGTTTTGTCGATCTAATACACGCGAATCGAGACGAGCGTCGAGTCCAGCTGTCGTAGCTACAGTCTCGGTTGTCGTTTTATTAGTTTTACTATGCGTTTGGACTTTTCTCAGAAGGCGGCGTTTCGAGAAATCGAGAAAATGGAAGCTCACGGCTTTTCAAAAAGTGGATTTCACGGCTGAGGATGTGGTCGGGTGTTTGAAAGAAGAGAATATAATCGGGAAAGGCGGGGCCGGGATTGTCTACATGGGGTCCATGCGGAACGGAGCTGATAATATCGCCATAAAACGCCTCGCCTGTCATAATAATAATAATAATAATGATGGCGGTTTTATGGCCGAAATACGGACATTGGGGAGTATAAGGCATCGGAACATAGTACGTCTCTTAGGTTATTTGTGTAATAACGAAACAAATTTGTTGCTTTACGAGTACATGCCGAACGGGAGCTTGGGTGAGGTGCTGCATGGGCCGAAAGGGGCACATTTGATATGGGAATCGAGGTTTAAGGTTGCGGTGGAGGCTGCTAAGGGGCTTTGTTATTTGCATCACGACTGTTCGCCTCCGATTATTCATAGAGATGTGAAGTCGAACAATATTCTGCTCGACTCGAACTATGAAGCTCACGTGGCTGATTTTGGCCTGGCTAAGTTTTTGGGTGATGGGAGCGTGTCGTCAGTTGCGGGCTCGTATGGCTACATTGCTCCGGGTAATTGTTTTATTTTGATAAAATTATTTTTATTAATTATTACGATGAAATTGTTGCTACTTGGAATATATATCCTTTGTGCACCAAGTCTCAAACATGCTTGAAAATGAAATCTAGGACTTCATTTCATTGTGTGGTGATGAATTTCTCATGAAATTTTCCTTGATATTGCAGATTTTAAAACTGTTCATCACCTCAATTTGGCTTCTCATTTTCAACTTGTTGTGTGTGATATTTACTCAATTTTTCGTTCGAACATAAATTTGTGTAATTTTTCAACGCACAAACTCTAACCGGGACTACTACATATTGAGCAGAATATGCGTACACTCTGAAAATCGACCAGAAAAGTGATGTGTACAGCTTTGGTGTTGTGCTGTTGGAGCTCATCACGGGCCGAAAGCCCGTTGGCGGGTTTGGGGAAGGAGTGGACATTGTTAGGTGGGTTGCGAAAACTAAATCCGAGCTGTCGGCCCATTTGGACCACACTTTGGTCCTGGCTGTGATTGATCCACGGCTTAATGGGTACTCGCTGGACTCGGTCGTGGGCCTATTTAGGATTGCAATGATGTGTGTGGCGGATGATAGTTCGAGAAGGCCCACGATGCGTGAGGTTGTGCACAAGCTCGAGAATTCTCCCACAGCCGACACGTGGACTCCACGGTAGTTTGGTGTGTTTAGTGATGGGGGGTTTATGTCTGAATGTGATGCAGTTAGGGTAGTAGTAATATGTGTAATTGTGTATGTGACTTGAAGTTTTAAGTGTGGTTTACTTATATGTATAGTTTTTAAGGGGTTTTATTGGTTTTGTGAGAGGGTGAAAATGTAAGAAAGGTTGTGGTTTTATGTTGATTTTGGTGGTAAATGTTGCGTGGGAGTTTCTATTTTGTTTTGTAAAAAAGTTATGATGATGTTTGTAGCTTGTGCAACTTTTAGTGCGGTTAAATTAAATGAGCCTGACTCGGTTCTGTTTATTAAGGTTTGAGTTTGGCTCGACTTGTTTGATAAACGAGTCAAGATCGAGCACATTTAAAGTTCGTTTGATTAACGGGCCGAATTCGAATTAGTTCAATAAGACTCGTTAAAGCTTGGAAAGAGAATTTTTATATAATTCACTATAAATTCGGTTTGTTAAAGTCCGAGATGGGCTTGTTAAGATTCAAATTCGGAATAAACGAGCCGAGCTCGAACTCAATTTGAGGCTCGTCTATTTAATGAGCTAAGCTCGAGCTCGAGAACTCTAAGGCCGAGCTCGGCTTGACTCGTTTACAGGCCTAGCAAAATGGATTATGTTTTTGCATCCAACATTTATGTTGCATTACTAAGGCTGCACGATTCATAAATTTTAAATAGAACTTCATACTTTTAAATTGAAATGTGACATTTTATAAAAGAATATAAATAAAGTTTAATATTTTACCCGTCCTTGTGGGTTTTAACGAACGACTAATCATTTAAATGTAAAAATTAGAAAAAAATGTTTATTTAATTTAGAGTTGAATTATCACGATTTTTCATCTCATATAACTAATTCTGTTTCGAGTTTATAGGACGCGGATGAAGAAAAATGAGGCATGATTACATAAAATCAAAAGGTGGGTAAAGTAGTAAAGAATGAAGATACTATTTTAATTATATACAACAAAGAAACTGCAAATTTTTTTATTGTTATTAATGCTATAATAAAAAGTATTGAATGCTGCTTCCAATAATGGAACGCTTATAAGCTTATTTTTAATAAATAAATGAAATGCATTATTGTTGATTAATAATAGTTTTTAAAATATAATCAACCAAGGAAAGAGTCGGGTAGGTAATGACTATATCACGATACAAACACAATTAGAAAGCTCGATTATATAAACTAAATGATACAATGAGCTAGATAGGACACAACATGAATAATAGTATAATACAATAGACTATTTTTTTTTATTAAATTTGAACTTATTGTTGTATTTCTGACAAATAAAATGGATAAAGCGAAAAAATACGATAGTAAAATACATAATTTGCCACCGAAATAATTAAAGCTACATATATAATTTTGAATGAACGAAAGCCCGACCCGCTAACAATACAAGTGCGGGCCTTTTTAAATCTTCCTCAGCCAATCTCTCCCTCTTAGAAAATTCAAATCCCAAAATCGATCAACGGTTCTCTTATATTCAAAGCCCCCCCCAAAAAAAAGTAGTGAAAAATGGAGTTGCAGTCTCCTCCTCCATGCCCGCCCACCGTCACCATCCGCCGCAACCCGCCGCGAAAAGCACGCCCCACCCCCAAATCCGCCATACCTCTCCGCGAGCCGCTGTCCTCGCCGTCCCTCTCGCGGAAAATTTTCTCCGGCGAGGCTTCTGAAAACCCTAAAGAGGCTGACGCTAGCATTGCCGATCCTGCCTCCAGAACCCTCGCCGAGAATCTCAAGGTGTTCTTGAGAATCCGCCCACTGGCAGTTCAGAAAACGAGCAAGAATGCTGCTGTTGAACCGAAGAATGCTTGGCCCAAGAATCCGAAATTCAGGGGCAATAATTGCAAGCCGCAAGCAAAAAAGAGCAGTGAATCGTGCGTGCAGGTGAATGAAGATTTGCGATCTGTTACGGTTGCAACTCCTCAAGCTTTGCAGGAGACGAAGAGGATAAAATCGGAGGTTTACGAGGGGTTTTCGCGTGTGTTTGGTTCGGAAGCATCTCAGGTAGGCTAGCCAAGCAATTTCGCTTTTTTTTTTTTTCGAGTTTAAATTTGGTACAATTTGTGATTTGTTGTAGTAATTTGTTCTGTAGAGCGATGTGTATGAGCAAATGGTGGAGCCCTTAGTAGACGATTTCCTAAAAGGAAAAAGTGGGATGTTGGCTGCCATGGGGCCTAGTGGTTCTGGGAAAACCCATACTGTTTTCGGGTGCGCCAGAGAACCTGGTATGGTACCACTCGCCCTTCGTCGCATTTTCAGTGAACACGAAAAAAGTGGAATGGGCTCATCGAGGTATAAGTTAATTAGAATCCATGGCCTGGGCAATGACATTGAGTGTTAAATAATTGATCGTGCTGGAAAGGTTATTTGTGTTTTGCCTATCTATATGTGTTTGTGAATCTTTGCATAATGAGCTGACATTGGAGATTTATGCTTATTTTCAGTTTTGTTGATTTATTTTATTTTATTATTATTTTTTTTTGGGGTAAAGTAGTTAATGAGTGCTTTTTAATCTTTTAAGTTTTATGCGGGCAGGGCATTTTATCTGTCGATGTTTGAAATCTCGTCAGAGAAAGGAAAGGCAGAGAGAATGGTAGATTTACTGCATGATCGAGGTGACATATGCATGCAACAATCAGTTCTTAAGGGACTCCAAGAGGTTACACCCTGTGATTTCTGGAAGCATTTTCTTTGTTTCTCGTTTGATGTTTCTTTTACTGTAGTCTGTATTTTTTGAAGTTGATGACTGGAATGAAATACTAATAATTATATATTCATTTTGGGGCATGCATGCAGGCAGTGGTTTGTGATGCTCAGCGAGCTGAGTCCCTAATTGCTCATGGGATGCTGAAACGTGCAACAGCTATGACCAATTCAAATAGTCAGTCAAGGTTTGATCACCCATTATTGTCTAGATTCATATTGCAAGGTTGACCATGTAGATGAGTTGAAGTGCTTGATTCAAGTTGTGGTATTCTATAATTCTAATATACCAACATTTAGTTTTCATGAGCAGCTCAATGAAAATTATAAGTACTTTAAACTTATTGTTTTCTCGATGTCACTTATATGAACTTTACATGGTACAAAGAGCTAGATTGTATTAGTGTGGAGAAATAATGGAACTGAGATATTTTCTTGTTCCTATATCTTTCTTGGTTGTGTTGAACAATGAATTCTTTTATATGTCTATGAATATGAGATGTTATATTTAGTAGTTATGTCCATTGCCTTAAACTATCTGCTTATTTCATGGTTTAGTTTGTTTATGCTTTCTCCATTCTTGTTCTGCTTTTCCAAGTGTATTGACTTCTTTAGTACCTTCAGAATTTCCTTACCTTTATGTAATGATTGCTATTTTTTTTTTTCTGGATGGTCATCTGTTCAAACTCCTGCAGTCGCTCACAGTGCATCATTAACATCCGCTGTTACTCTGAGAACGTCAGTGATGAAGTTGGTGACAAATATATGAGCAGTATGCTGACAATTGTGGACCTTGCTGGAGCAGAGAGAGAAAAGAAGACAGGCAATTTGGTAAATGTTACATAATGTGAAACCAAATGGATAATGCTTCTGTGTAGGGGGGAACCTGTGGCTAGAAATTTATCTAAAATGTTTACATGTGCCTGTACAGATATTAACACCTACCTTAACTGTATTTTGAACTTAAAAGCCAGCTAAAAAGTAGGATTTTCATCCACAACTGAACTGGTATGAATTATAAAGTTGCGGATTTGACTGTGCGGAAGTTTCAGAAGCTTGTTCCTGAGACTGATTTAGGGGTGTCACATCATTTATAGATACAGCTACATATAGAGATCTTGGGAGTATACACACACACACACATATATAATTATTAGAATCCTTATTTATGTACTTATTGAACTTCTAAGAAGATAATTCTTCCAACTAGTGTATGATACATCAAGCTTATTTCCTGCTACTCAAGCTGATTTTGTTATTCCTCAGGGAGCTAGACTGCATGAGAGCAATTTTATCAACAACACCTCGATGGTGTTTGGTCTTTGCTTGAGGGTATGGCCTGTGACTCATGAGAGGCACTGTTTGGTTTACTTTTTTCCACTGCCTTGATCTCTAACATCACTTGTTGGGGTGAACAAGTGTTAAATTTTTTATTCCATGTACTGGGATGAGTATCTGTCATATATAGTTATTTCTGTTTTTCGCTTTCAGTCATTGTTGGAGCACCAGAAGAACAAGAATAAGATGCTGCAGAAGCACTACAAAAACTCCTTGGTAATTCTAAGTTGTGATATGACAATGCCAGTGATTGTGTGTTTTTTTTTTTTAAAGAAATATGGTTTTGCGTATGTATTCTGAGCCAAACACATCATCTGAATTGCTTATTTTGCTCAGTTAACGAGATACCTGAAAGATTATCTGGAAGGCAAGAAGAGGATGATGCTGGTAATGTTAAGGGCTATGCAACAATTACACGAGTTATTACTCAATGGTTTATGTAATTGCAATATCGAAGTTTGTGATCTTGCAGATTTTAACAGTCAAACCTGGAGTCGAGGATTATTTGGACACATCCTTTCTGCTGAGGCAGGCTTCACCGTTCGCAAAAATAAAGTGAGGATCCTTATACGAGTGTGTGTTAGTCTCCAGATTAGCCTTTCTTGATGAACTTATGAAATTTTGGTTTCCTATGCAGGTTTAAAGCACCAGAAGAGCCTGTAACTTTGACTAGCAACAAGAGGCCCAACCAAGCCTTGGCCCCAGCTGAGCACCTTAAGAAAGTGAAGTTAAGCGAAAGTGCAGTTTCACCGGTAAAACATTCTTCGAACATTTTTAACACCCGTTCAGCAAATTAAGAACAGTTTGATGTCATATTATCAATGCTACCTAATATCATCCGTAGTTTGATTAATTCCTTGTTTTCTTTCAGGTTAATGAAGGAAATACTGACAGAGGTTCCTTCTTACCGCGCAAAGGTTATTGCAATATATTATGGTTAATAGCACCTGTGTCTGAGACTTTGTATTGCATGTTATGCTATGGTGTTGTCCTCGTGTTGTGTAGTTTCTATTTGAAGATTCCTCATACCTTAACTACTGCTTGGACAGATATTTCTGGGAAAGTGGTTAAAGATCGACTTAACCTGAACACTGAGGATATATCTAATGAAACTTTAAAGGAGGTCCATGTTTCATCGGATGGCTTTGTTGGGCTGGGGATTAGAGAGGAATCATCACTAGTGGGGGATTTCAGTAAAGTGAAGGGTGAAAAGAATCGGGAGTACCAAATTTTGCAAGGACTTTCAAAAGCTTTTTTATCTGTTATGAGACAGTACAAGACAAAGCTAAAGGTATTATGTGATTGCCATTGAGATAAGTATGATTGTCTTATGACTGGCTAGGGGTTCTTCTATTTCAGGCTTTTAGACTCAATAAAACCTTGATTTCTTTTACTATGTGTGTCAACAGGAGGTTGAAACTGAAAATTGCAATCTAAGGGATAGATTAATCGATGAAGAGCGAAGAAGCTTTGACCTTGAGAGTAAACTGGCCAGTGAAAAGAAGAGATTCATTGATCTAGAAAACAAACTAAGCGAGTTGAGGTGTCGATGTACTTGCGAAAGTGTCTCAACTCTTGTGGTCCCAGTTTCATCTCATGATGCTGCCTTCAATTTTTCACAACATGAGAAGGCTGAAATGCACGAGGTATATGCTTTTAATTCTTAATGCCTCACATCTAATTTGTTCTGTATCCGACCTTTTAGTTTTTCCTTACATGCATCTTACGCTAGGGATGTATATCAGTTAGGACAACATCCAAGAAAGTATTTATTTGCTCCAAGTGTTAGCTCATTTGGTTTCCTCGATAATTGAAATGAGCCGCCATTGATACAAATCCTTCTTCGGTATATCATTATTTTCAAAACTGCAGATCTGTATTGTTTATGACAATATTTTCTCACATTTGGTGAAATAGAGTTTCTAAACATAGATTGCTAATGCGGGCATCATTTCTTACCCGACAGATCATCTGATTTCTGTTTCTAAAATTATGCCTAGGTGAACTTAGAAGTTCCATCTTGTTCCTTAAAGCAGTTGAACGAATGTGAAAATGAAGAAAAAATGGATCCTTCTGTAAGCCATTTGCATATGCTACATTAAGTATCACTTCATACTGCTTGTCTACTCACTGAAAACTATTTAATTACTGATCAGGCTACAGATTCAGTTGTGACTTCTGCTTTTGAGCATTACTCGCAGGTATATTGAGTCACCAGTTCTTAAGCATCGATTTCCATCCTTATTAAATGTCTGGAGTTAGAATCCATACACTAGCATTTATTAGATGTTGAACTAATTGGTGACGGGTTTTTTAATCAGCAACTTGAATATATCCGTGAAAGCATTAGCAAGGATGAAGGTGAAGAAGAAAAGGGAATTGAAAATTTCTTCCCAGCCGATATGTGTGTCCTAAGTCCAGAATTTTCAAGAAGTAATAAAAGTGCTGCGAGTTTGGCTTCTTTCGAAGCCATAGATGGTGTGTCTTCCAGCAGGAAAACGAGTGCATTCATAGATAATGAGTCTGAGCAAGAGGCTGTGAGCACAAGGAGAGATGTAAAAAATTTGGAAGCAGAGAGTGGGTGTGTATCAAGCGAATCATGCCATTCTACTGCTCTTGAGTATGAGAATTTGAGAAGTTCTCGGGAGTGTGAAGATTCTAAAGAAGAGCCTGCTCAGCTTGAAGATGGTCTAGCAGGTTCGAATAGAAATTATTTTTTCTCGTTGATCTAAGATATAAGCTCCTTCATATGATAGTTGTTAGAAATGGAACTAACTCCTCCATGGAATTTTTGTTGCAATTTGTTAAAAAAACGTGAAGTAGTTTAAGGTCTTCTTCTCTGCTGTGTTAAAATTAGTCTTATGCCTGCACAAAAGATTTAACTAACACTTGACCTTTTAATTTAAGCAACATTTTTGTTACGCTTTAAATTTATTTTGGAATCTTCTAGAGTAGTCCCTTTTGTTTTCTGTACTCTATCTTAGTCATATCTAATTTACAGATGGACTGTCGTTAGTTGAGGACCACATTGTTTCTGTTGCAGCCAATTCACACATTATTATATCTCCTGAATCTCCCCAGAAAGACGAAAAGTGGCCCAATATTGAATCTCAAAAGGTTTATTTGAGGCTTATAGCACTTCGTAAATTGTTAACTTATTTATCATTATTTACATTATAAATATCATTTTAAACATCTGCTCGACAATGCCTCTCTCTTTGTATAGCAATTGGCATGTAGTTGTCTGTCTACTGGTAAAAATACTACGTAATCTTTAATCAGCTATAAGTCAAGGAATTGCAATGTGATTAATATTTTGGATTTATGCCTTTTTTTTCTGGAACAGCCAATGCTTAGCCTTTGCTTGCCATTGTGTGCGTGGGGGATATTTTCAAGAATTTTCTTCTGCTCCATTAGCGAAGAGAAAGGTGTAATAATATAGTGACGATATACCCAATTTTCTCATCAGTGAACACATAACCTCGCATATAGCTGGCATTATATATAGTTATATACCTAGGAGCATCTTTAGATTCTTACAAATTATGTCAAATACCCACATATTATTGTTTGTCATTCATTGTTTCTAGAGATGTTAAATAATCTACAAATGCGGTTGATGTTTTTAATTGAAACTTGCGTATTATTTTGCGGAAATAATATTCTTGGCGAATGCAGGAGCAGGCAGATCCACTGGTCACAGTTCCACTAAAGGAAGGATGGAATGCCGATAGCACAGCTAAATTTGTAACTAAGCATGATTATTCTTGCAGCAATTTACAGCAACCAAATAAACCAAAGAGGTTTGTTTATAGTTCATTTGTATTTTACTCTTAATTCATTTTTCTATTTTCCTACACAACCCACTTAAGTCCCATGACTCAGTGCTAGTATTGCTTTTCAATTTATTCAGGAGACTGCTTCCAGCTTCCTCTGTATTGCTGAAGGATATCAGCATATTGAACATCAAGGATGAAAATGACAAGCCAAAGNCTCATGCTCTCTCTCTCTCTCTCTCTCCATAAACTTGTTACTGTTTGTTGATTACAGACCATTATTATTTCAGGGAGGCAGAGGCAGAAAGAGAGAACCCTTGGACGACAAGAACAAAACACAAGGCAGCTTGTCACTTCTGAATTTGCTCACTAAGTAATAAACTTGACACATGAGAAAGTCTAATTCTCGAAAACGTGTAAGCTAAGCACAGCCATAGGTTGAAAAAACGTTTGCTGTTCTGACTGTCATTTGATCTTGTACATGAATGAAGCCTCGTTAAAAATGTGCTGGATTTGATTGGATACTTAATTTATACAGTCTGGATGATTTTGTATATTGGATTATGGATGGATACTAGTTCCCTATTCTAGCACAATTTTTTTTTTTGTATGAGTTTGACTTAATTATTAAGTGGGTAGTGAAAAGCCCAGATAAAGTCCAAATGTGGTTCCATCCTAAAACCAATTGCTGGAAGGAGAAGTAGCCCATTAGACTTATAAGGTGAGTCTATTTTTCATGTATAAACGATGTGAGACAACTCATAAGTGATATTCTAACATATTGAAAAAATATAATTATCTAATTGCTAACTCTTACACAGTGTTTGGTTCGGGGGAAAGTGAGGAGAGGGGAAGGGAGGAGAGGGAATTTTATAACTTTTCCTTGTTTGGTTCAATTTTTTGTGGGGGGAGGGGATGATATTTTCCTTTCAAATCCCTCCTCCAAGGGAAAATCTCTTCCCCTCCAAAAGTGGAGGAATTTGGAGGGGAGGGAAAATTTATCACATACAATTACTATATTATCCTTTATATGTAAATTATTTTATTATTTTGTTTCTTACATCATTAAGGATACAATTGTCATTTCTACAATATTTTCTTTTCCCTCCCTTATTCTAACCAAACAAGGTTTACCATTTTCCCTCCACTCCCCTCCTACAAAATTCCTCCAAACAAGGTAAAATTATTTTACTTCACCTCCCCTCCCCTCCCCCTTCCTTCCATTAAAATCCCTCCCCTCCCCTCAGTTGAACCAAACATAGCCTTAGGGGGCGGTTGTATACAAATTGTACATTACAAACTCAAATTTAACTCAACTTCAATATTGTCAATATAATTAAATAATATCAACCAATCATTTTTACAAATCACATCAACTTTAAGTGACTATTTATCTACTCACATAATTTTAACTAACTATCACTTCCAATCATTTTTTCCTACTTTTACATCAAATCAACTTTAACTATTTTATTTTAAATATTATTTTAATATATCCACTAACAACTAACCATATCACTTTTTTTTAAACTTAACTATAGTTAAAAGATAACCAGGTTTTTACTAGTTGAATTCATATCCAATCACCCACCTAATTCAATTGGTACAGCTAAGATTGTGTAGTTGACTTTTACATTTAAGGGTGAGGTTAGTGCATCTCTCTTTTNAGGTTTCGTTGACTTGGTTATATCCAAAGGAGAACCGAGAACATGTATTTCTTGGTATTCTAAATATCTATCCTTTGACTTGTTGGAAAGTTAACCAAACTATCATCATGATTACATGGTGTGAAAGCCACAACATCCCGTGATAGTTTGAAAAATTAGGTGTAAATGTGTAATTGTTGCACAGTAGTTAACCGCTACAAATTTAGTCTTCCTTTTGACAGTAGGATAATGATATAAAGCCAAAAGTTCTGTTTGTGACTGCACATTTCAAAATTGAAAATTTTCAATTCAATGCCCAAAAAGGACGCACACTGAAAAGAAAAATCAGGGGACCTTTGAAAACATGGGCCTTTGCTTCGATCAAGTTAAGGTGCCATTGTTTTTTTCTTTTCTATTTTTATAATGTCATTTTCTATGTTCAACTATGTATTATAAAAGCAACATTAACCACCATGTTGTGCTATAATTTCGCATGCCACCATTTCATTCTACTTTGGAGTTGTGAAAAGATTGTTCTCATCTTGCGCCACATTTTTTCATGACTCGGGAGATATGAACAATATCGTGTCACATGTAGTGTAGTATTGTTAGTCATGCTACAATTTTTCCTCAATAGTTTATTTTCTTTTAAATTGATCTTTATTTTATCTTGAAGTATTATTTTGACAAAGTATACACTAATAAATTTTAATTTTATTTTTATAGTTGTGCTTAAATTTTATTTTGGAATAATATATTTCGATTAGAGAAAAATATAGAGCCCACGACTGAAATCAAGGTTAAAATTTAACTTTCCTACACTACACTAGAAAATCTAACATAGTGACGTAGCGAAAGTGTAAACTTATTGGAAAGATAAAGAGAAAACTCTCAAACTTGTATTTTGTGTTCAATAATTCCGTCCTTCAAAATAAAAAGAGGAGTCTCTTAAACAAAATTTCTATAAAGCCCTAAATTAATTAACTTACCTACCAATAAAAGGATTAGGAAAAATAAATAAATAATACCTACAAATTCTAATATTCCAAATAATAATAAGAATAATAAAAATAAGAGAATAAATAATTAAACTAATGACGATAAACGATCATGTTTGTCCCAGAGGCTAATGCAATTGTCTTCATCATCCCCCTCGCCCCAACTTGAAAAGGATTCGCCCTCGAATCACACCGAATCTCATCTTCGTCCAAGTAGCCGCCACGGAACCGCACCAAATGTTTGACAGTGAAGACGTCAGAGGTACGAATGTGGGAAGGCAAATAGAGGCGCGCGGAATATATTTGGATTGATCTTCTCCACAATCTCAACCGGGCTGATCTTGCGTGCCGACAACTTGTTGTACTCATGCACGAAAAATTGGTCCTTCGTCAAAACAACCCAAACAAAGTCACCTACCTCAAACTCCACATGACGCCGACGAGCATCCGTATGGCGCTTATACGAAGCGGTCACCACCTCCAAATTAGGCACGAACCATCTAATGAGTGCGACGCAAATCAACCATGAAATCCTTGGCCCGCCGATCGGCACTGACACCGACAAGGCCATCAAATCTGCAGGGCCGCGTGGCTACATGATGTAAACCACCTGAAACGTAGACAACTGTGTAGCCCGACTAACAACCGAATTGTGGACAAACTCCGCCTGGCTGAGCTGCTGATCCCAACTCTTCAAATTCTCGACCACAAAGCATCGCAGCAAATTCCCAAGTGACCGATTGACGACATCCTTCTGGTCGTCAGTCTACGGATGATAAGCACATGAAGTCCAACCGTGTAGTAGCTTGACGCCACAAACTACGCAAAAAGAAACTGAGGAATTGAGTATCAAGATCAAAGACAATGGATGAAGGTAGGCCGTGCAAGTGATAGACCTCCCGAAAGAACAACTGTGCGACATGCACGACATCGGTGGTGCGCTTACACAGAATAAAATGAACCATCTTTAAAAAATGGTCGACCACCACGAACAGGGGCGGATCTAGAAAATAAAGTTAGATGGACTAGAACAGTATATGAATCGAACTGTGTTTGCATAANTTGCTAATATATTTAAACGATCCAAGTTATAACAATTATTCAAGCTAGTTTTTTTTTAATGAGTTGGGCCGGCTTGAGCTTATTATATGAGCCGACTTGGATCTCATATATATTTTTGTTCGTTTATTAAATGGAAGCCAAGTCGACCCATTAATTAAATGAACACAAGCTTGAATATGAGGTATTTGACTTGACTCAGGTCGAATAACATTTGTAGAGGACTATATAATTTTTAATATCTCCTTCCCTCTCATTTATTTTAATGTATTTTCTATAGTTTGAAAAAATATACAGAGATTAAGTATAAACATAATGAATATAAATAAAATCTTAAAGAGTTATGTCTCCACTTAATCAAGTATACAAAAGATTAAACGTTGTTAGGATATTAAAATAAAATATATAAGTAAATATCATATTCAAAAATAATAAAATTATTAATTATAATCCATAAAATGTCTTCATTATAAATAGTAAATACTCTATTAGTTACTCATTATTTGTTATACATTTATTTTTATAATTTCTCTATAAGAATATTGGTACTTTTATGCGCTAATTTTTTATTACACGAATATTTTTTCAAGCACTCGTGTTGTATACGTATGTCATACTAATATATATTATAAAAGAATGTAGAAAGATTACTTACAAAAATGTGTAGTTAAAATTAATTAGTTAGCATACAGTACTTTGTAATAATTGTGGAGATGGATATAAGTTGAATATGATGATGATGATGATGATGATGATGATGATGATGATGATGATGATGATGATGATGATGATGATGATGATGATGATGATAATAATAATAATAATAATAATAATAATAATAAAATAAAAGTTTGGGGGGACAATTGCACCCCCTACCCACAACATAGCTCCGCCTCTGACCACGAAGATCGATTCATACCTCCGCTGGGTGCGCGGCAAATCAAACACGATATCCATGCTAATAGCGCACCAAAGCTGCAACGGGACGTGGAAAGGGCAATAAAGGCCAGTGTTAGAAGCAACCCCTTTGAAAAACAGACAAACACAAATCGAGTAACATTCGCCGCAAAGACAAATAAAAACAATCGTTGTACCAACTAAGTGGATCGATCCCGACCCACGTATCCCGCCCTGTGGAGATCGCGACAACCAGCTTATGGCGAACCGACAACCAACTCAATGATGAAGACGAGATTGCATTGACCTTTGTGGACAATCATGATCGTTTATCGTCATTAATTTAATTATTTATTTCTTTATTTTTATTATTCTTATTATTATTAGAATTGGTGGGTAATCACTATTTATTTTTCCTAATTCTTTTTTCTTGGTAGGCAAGTTAATTAATTTAAGGTTTTGTAGGGGTGTTATTAATTAAGAGACTCCTCTTCTTATTTGAAGGACAAATTTATTGAAGAAAAAATACAAGTTTGAGAGTTTTTTCTTTATATTTCTCATTCGTTTATGCTTTCACTACGTCACATAAGTTGGAGATAGTCCAAATTGTAGGTTTCCTCCAATATGCTTATAATTTTTTTTATTTTTTTTTTCGAAACGACAGAAGTATTATATAACGCGCACAAATGTGCAAAAGGGCAGCCACCGGCTGAATACAAGCAGCTAACAGCTGGATACAAGCAATCAACAACTGAAAAAATGGAAGGACAGGTCAAAAGACCGCCTAGAGAACCGACCCCAACAGGGTAAAACACGGGAACACAACTACACAACTAAAAAAAACAACTCACAAAGACCCCAACAGAGTAATGCCCGAGTGTACGATCCCAACGGGATAATAAGGTCACACTCGGGCAAACTGAGACCAACGGCCCAGACCTAAAACACAGCAACAACACATTCTAATTAATACACAAAAACTACTAATCTACCAACAAAACCAAAACAAACAAAATTA